GAAAGAGTGCAGAGAAACAGCCTGAATTGATAATCTTTCCATCATTCTGCTGAGGAATATAAACATTCTGTGTTTCTCTCTCTTTTCCTCTGATAGCTAGTAGTGATGACATGACTCTGACAAGCCCTAGCATGGATAATTCCAGTGCTGAGTTGATACCTGGTGGGGACTCACCCCTAAATAAAAGGATGACGGAGAATCTCCTAGCAAGCTTGTTGGAACATGAGCGGGAAGCTATCCTTAATGTCCCTGCTGCCCAAAATCCAGAAGATCTTCGCATGTTTGCAAGGTAGGAAATGAGGAGTGTGGAATATAATATTTTTTTCTTATCCTTGCTGTTTTATTGAAGGATTGGTGTGGGGCTCTGAACAAATCCCATTACCTTGGGATTTTGGAGGATAAATTCTTTTGGGTTTGTTCCCCCTTACACCCATTTCATCTCTGCACATCAGTTTTTGACAAAAAACTATTATGTATGTCACAAGAACACTTGTTAACAGAGAGTCTTGGATGTGTGAAGGAGGATCAGGACGTATGGTTGGACAAGAGGAACTTCACTGTTTGCCTGCCAGCTTTCCTGCGTCCACACACTGTGGGCATAAAACTGCATAACCTGAAAAAACCTTCTAAGTGTGCAAAGCAAAGACCCAGGCGTGCTGACGCTGTCGTTTTGTGTTCATTGACATTTCCAAGCCAGCTCTCCTTTATTTTAAGGTTCGTAAACTCCATGCAGATATGAGACAGAGGCAAAGAGCATCAAACACAAAGGCAGCCAGTCTACAAACCTTTCAAGGTCTGTTTTGCAGAGATGAGCCGCTCGTTATGTCAGGTTAGTTAGGTTAAAGTCATTAGGATCTGTGATTAGTAGCACTCAGTTTTGTTGTTACAAATTTCAACACAACAAAAATCTGCAAGATGTGGTTCTGCACATGGTGAAAAGCAGAATGACTTCCTAACCAGCCATCTGGGAAAAAGGTGTGGGGGAAAACACTTTTTCTTCCTAAGCATTTCAAAACACTGGTGGCATCACTGGAATGCAACTTGCACTGGCTTTCATATTTGTAGAGCAGAAAACCACCTGAGGCAAGTACTGCAGCTTTTCCTGTACTACCCAGACTGAGTTGGTAATCCCTTGAAAACCTGGTTCTTGCCCTAGGGTGGATATAGTCAAGCAGCCCAGAGCAACTGCAATAGCAAGGAAACACTTTTCTAGTCTGCGGCGAAGTTTGCAGCTATGCTGTGCTGAGGTGTTTGCAGAGCTCTCCCAAGCTTGTGGGCAGTTACTGCCCTCTGAATGACTCATCTCCTTCTCCACCTTCTGTAAACTGTTCAGAGGATAGTCATTCTCTGACTGAGAGGTAACGCTTTGGCCATTTGAGAACTTTGAAATGTTTTTTCCTCCTTCCCAGATCAGTTGTTACAAAACCGGTGAGAAAGGAAAGCAGAAACAAAGTCATAATTGGTGATATCTTAAGATGGAATTTGTGAGGGATGCTTTGGACCAGCTTAGTGGCAATGCAGTTCTTAAGTTATCCTACAGAGAGGAAAGGATTTTGTGATTGCTCCCCTGTTGCTTCCCTCATCTGGGTAAAACAGCCATTTGAAAGCTTTGGAATTGCAGATGCAAAAAATTACCTTGATTTCTTCATAAAATCAGCTGCCGTAAGCAGGCAGCTCTCTGAAGAATGTTTATTTTGCAGTTTGTTCGTGCACCAGGTTTTATGCACATCCCCAGGATGGCTTTGCTAAATCTGAATTTCCATTCTACTATAGATTGAATTGACAGCTGCATAACTTACTCTTAAATCACCAGTGAGGAAGAGAGGAGATACAATAAACAAATGGGTCCTGTGGGTAGGATGCTGGAGTGTAAAATAGAAATGTTTATGCAAGACGCTCTGGGTTACCGGTGGCTTTATGAGACACCGTAACTTGAAAGTTGTGGGTGTATTTTCTCTCTTTTTGTGCCATAAACCATCAGAGATGTGTGTCTGGGTAAATCTATTGCTCTTAATGAAAGTGTAAACAACTGTGGAGAGCTGAATGGGCTGATCTCCCTCATTACCCCAGTAGAGGTGACTGCTCCAGCTCTTCTTTTTGCTTCATTTTGGGGAACAGCAGCCTAATGAGGGCTGTGCTCTGGCAAATAGCTCTGCTGTGTCAGCTGCCTCCCAGAACAAACTCCTGCTATAAATGCACAGTTACTGCACCAAATATACTGCAACTGCCCTTCCAAGTGCAGTTGTGTGTGCACACAAAGGGATGGGCTATTTTCAGCAGAGCAATAAAGTTCAGCCTGATACGTTTTCTTGTGTCTACGCCTCTGAACGCGTGTTCTTCATTAAACAGATGGCAGAAGGAGCTCGTGCCTGTCCATCGCTGTGCACAGCCGGTGTCTGCAAGATGGAAACCTTAAGGGGAAATAAGGAATGCTGAAGCTTGGCTCCAGCACTGGCTGCAGTAAACCTTGTTACCATTGAATGGGAATTGAAATCCAGGTTTCAATGGAAACTGGATTGGAGGGTTGGCACGTCCTTCCATGAGTAAACTTAAGAAGGAGACAAGTTCTTTTTGATCTAGATCTCTGGTAATGTACACGAAGTGTTCTTCACTGCACATTAAGCAGTGCTTTCAAAGACAGTGTGAGTGAGAGTTCACTCGTGGCTCCTCTCCCAAGCCACGGGTGTGGAGTCACTTTCAGGATTTTTTCCTTACTCTTAGATTGGGCGATGGAGATCCTTTACTCCACTGAGGAACACCCATTGGTGGCATTAAGCTGTAGACAGTTCTGCTCCATTTTCAGGCAGTGCTGGTGGAAGGGATATCTCCTTGTCCAGGAATAAGTGATTTTTATTTGAATAACTAGTATGAGAGAATCAGGTTTTTAGTGTTGAAGAACACTACACTGCTGTTCCAGGGGCAGCTCTTACAACTTGTAGAGGGGAGAACAGTGATGGGCAATGGAAAGCAATAATCTTCCATCCCTGCATCTGTACGTGCAGATCTGTCAACAGACACATCTCTGACCAACGCTGTCCCTTCGGCGCAGTGTTACTGCCCCAGGAAGCACCATCCTGTCCTGTGTGGGTCCCGTAAATGCTCATTGCCCACACCGGCGAAGGCAGCGCCCATCCTCACTGGGGCTGTGAGCCCCAAGTTACAGCTTTGTAGATTCTAGTTGGACTTTTGGGAAAACTTCTTCCCTGGGAGTGTGGTGCAGCCCAGGACAGATTACCCAGGTGTGTGGGGCGATCTCCATCCTTGGAGGCTTTCAGAGCTTGGCTAGAAAAAGCTACAGCATTGGCAATAGTCCTGCTGGAGCAGGATGCTGGACTGGACTTTGGAGGTGTCTTCCAGACGGCATTTTTGTGATATTCTTTAATATCCTCTCTAGCTTTTATTGGAGTGGAAAGTATTTAATCTTGACCAGTTACAAATCCAGACTCATTTTGAATATAGGATGGGTTTATTTGTTGGAAAACTCCTGCTTAGTCTGTGTTGCTGCTGAAAGCCAGGTTGTAGTGACTGGGACAGCAGGCAGCTGTGCCAGGAGGTGAGCGCAGGGGCAATCACAGTGAGCAGCTTTGTACAAGGAAGAGAATAGGGAGCATTAAAAAGCTTTTTTTTTCAAAATCATGTTTTGAACAGTGATACAAGTTATAAAATATACAAACATTTCTGTTAATGCCTTGAGGAATGGCACACACACACACACACCAACGCTGTCCCTGCTAATGGCCACTTCTCAGTGCACGCTGGTTGCCGTTGGCCCAGGGGAGGAAGCCAGTGAGCCTGATGTAAATACCCAGTGGGAGATGGTGGGAGAGGCAAATGCACAGCCCAGGTGGTGGAAAGGTAAATACAAGGGGAGTTTGGCTGCCTGCTGTTTGTTTGTACTGCAGGCACAGCGATGATGTTCTCATAAAGGTGCCGAGTTGAGAGCTGGCAGGTGAACATCGAAGCAGAAGGGAGTTTGCAGCGTGCTGGGGCTGCACAGCCCCAGGCTGCCTGCAGGGAGGAGGCCGGGGGGTCCTTGGCTCTGAGCATATGTACAGCTGCTGGGGAACAAGGGGGGTGAGAGGAGGGACAGGGCAAATTGGGCAGCAGAGAAACACAAATGGCAGTGGAGTAGAGGTGAAACCTGCTCTGGGCAGTGTAGAGGGAGGGTGTGATGGAGGAAGACTTGTTGCACAGTGACTCCTTTCCAGCCATCCACAAAGGGTAATGGGTGACAGGAGTGCCTAGCCTGAGCAGTAGAAGACAACCAGGGAAACGTTGGTCCTTCAAGGAAAGCTTGAGAGGCTCCATCCTGCTGTGATGTGAAACAGGCAGGAAGGCTGAGAGACATTTGGTGTCTTCCAAGGGCTGTTCCTGCATGAGCGCTGTATGAATGAACTGGAAACCAGATCTTGTCATCTCCAGTTATTTTCACTCTCCGTTAACATGAAGCAGCAGGGCAGCGTGTTCCTGAGCTGCAGAGGGGTACGGAGACACGAGCAAAAGCTGCTGAAGCGCAGAGCAGAGCGTGATGTGTAACACATGTGGACACACATCTGTCTGCGTAGCAGGGGAAGGGATTCTGGCACGTGCGTTTGGGCCTTGGCGGGTCGGAGTATTTGAGTGACCTGTGCAGAATGGGTCCTGCATTTGGGAGGCTGTTAAGACAATTAAGAGACTGAGCAGCACACTCAAGCTTTGTCTGGAGGACTGGCTTGGTGTTAGGGCTCTGGAATGTCTCTGGGGAGCGGGTCCTCAGTCACCAGGGACTTGCTGCAGCGCTTTGTCTTAGACCCTGGAGTGACTGACTGTGCAGGGCTGAGGTTATCTGATGGCTGTGGCACGCTGGTGGCCAGCACAGGGGTGTCTACGGCACCTCTGTTTAAAGAGAACTGGGAATTTAAGGAGCCAAGTGTGGTTTGAGCTTAAGCTTCAGGGTTTGGGGGCTCTTTATAACACCCAGAGCTTCTCTGTGGTGCCTGTCACCAAAATTTCCATCTCCCTGTTGCGACTGCTCCACCTGCCCCAAGCTGACCAAAGCTCAACAGTGCACAGTCTGTAGTTACCAAGCCCCTTGGGCTGCTGTGAGGGAAAACAGGCTCGTAATTCTAAAAGCAGCTGTAGGTACTTGTGCCTCTGATGCAGGGCTGTGACGAAGGGCAGCGTAGACCCAGCTAAGAGAGCACAGACATAAATCTGCCACGTCCTGACTTCTCCAGCCTTGTTGGCATTTGTGGTTCCTCACTTCCTGGAATTAAAACTATGTTGAAAATGGACAATCTCAGGAAATGCCCCAGGCTAGGAAACCTTTTGATAGAAGCAGGACCTTTGCAGAGCCCCAGAGCAGGGAGTCCCCTGCTTTTCCAGGGGATTTCTGTGCTAGGCGTGCCTACAGTAAGAACCAACTTAATTCACTTCACTTTTCATGTAAATGAGGGACACAACCCAAACACCTTCCGATTTGCATCCCATGGGGGAGGGAACCTGGGATCAGTTCCAGCTGCGTGCACTTGCTTTTGGCCCACGTGCCTCCCTTGCTCTCCTTCCCCACAGGCTGCTGCACTATTTCCGAGGCCGACACCATTTGGAGGAGATCATGTACAACGAGAACATGCGTCGCTCCCAGCTCCTGATGCTGTTTGACAAGTTCCGCAGCGTGCTGGTGGTGACCAGCCATGAGGACCCTGTGATCTCAGTTTTCCAGTCTCTCTTAAAGTGACTCTGCTGGCACTGGCAAAGGAAGGGAACCTGCTACACTCTTGATACTGATCATCTGCAAGATGTCTGAAAACTAAAGGAGGTGATTTGAATTCCTTCTTGCCCTGTGTTCTCCTTCTCCGGCCTCGATTTCCCATCTGCTGCCTGTGGTGACAGCTGAGGCCGGTCTGTGTGAGGGCTCTGGGACCTGCTGCAGGACAGCCTGTGCTTGCTTGGCCTGGATTCCTGCCGTGCCATGTTCACAGCATGGGAGCTGCTGGTTCACAGCTCCTCCCTGACCCTGCTCCCTCCCCAGAGCTTGAGAGAAGCAAGAAGACTTCCACTGCGATGTTACTGACAGAACTTCACCTTCGGGTGGACACTGGTGTATCAGAAGTGCTTTCTCTGCTCTCCAACAACGTGGCTGCTGGGTCATTCAGCCACGAGCACCGTTGGTGAGCAGTTTGTCCCCAGAGCAGAGTGGATATGGCCTCTGCTCGAGAGCAGAGTG